GGGGGGGGGGGGGCGGCCGGCGGGGAAGCATGGTGTTTACAGGTGCTGCTGGTCTGTGTTTAGAAGAATGTGCAGGATTGTCCACTTGGGAAAATGCCTGTTCATAATCATTACATCACCTGGGCTCTGCAGGTCATGGTCAACCAAGGAACGTGCTCATTTCTACCATAAAATGCCAGCATCTAGGCATGTTCCCTAGTGGGCAACAGTGGGCCTTTAGGCCAGCTGAGCTCTGAGTGATGGCGGGGCGGTGCGGTTAGAATCTTTCTGGGCCTGTGTCTCGGCAGTATGGTGAAATGATGATTATACCCGCTTCCTGGGTTGCTCAGTGAATATTAAATGAGTCAGTGCCACAAAATGCTTACAGCAATGCTGGGCTTGAGTCACCTGCTCAAAAGCACATGAACACTGCTGTCCCCCAGGTACTGACCAGGTGCTCAGCTCTGTGCTGGACAAGTGGACAGAGGCTGACCCCTCCTTCAAGTCACTGAAGCGCCCCTTGTCCAGCTCAGTTTTTATCGTGTTCTGCATCAGCACCCTGTTCTGTGTTCATGAATCCTCCTCCCTGCCCCAGCCCCCAGAATCACAACCCAGGAAGTCAGAGCTTTTTATCTGCTTTGTCACACGTATCCCAGCACCAGGAATGGTGCCTGGCGTGCTTGGCAAATATTGGGTGAGTGAAGCTTATGTGTCTGAGTGGAGGGCAGACCTCAAATAAGAAGCTGCAGAGAGTTAGAACTTCTTTGAAGAAAAAAAAAAAACAGGGTCACACGACAGAGAAGGGACTGTGTTGCCCAGTATGCTCATGGGAGGGAAGCTAAGGGAGCAGATGACACAGACTGAAACACCAGCCATGAGAAATGGTGGACCGTGTCCTGGCATAGGGAACAGCACTTGTTTTGGGGAACACCGGAGAGGCCTGCCTGAGTCTGGAGGGAGGCCACAGCACACAGGACCTCACAGGCCAGAGAGAACCTTCAGGCTTTGTTCAGAGCCTGTGGGGGCCCCACAGTTTTGAGGGCTCACCCTACTGTGATTTGGACTGTGGGGTAGGCTGGGCTTTGGGGACCAGCAAGCGGCTCTGTGCCAGACAGCAGCCTTAGGGACCATGGGGTGTTAGAATTTGAGGGACTGAATGTTAGGTGAGGAAGGAAGCAGGGAGGAGGCTGGGGGAAGGAGTTGTTCTTCAGTCCTGGGCTGGCTAAGAGATCAGCACCCAGGCCTCAAGCGTACCGCCTATCTTGGCCCTGGAAGCCCCCCTTCCCCACCCTGCTGTGTTTTCTGGCCAGTCTGCCCCTCAGGAAAGGCCATGGACCCAGCTGGAACCTGCTGCCTGCCCCTGGGGGAGGGGTGTTTGTCTGTTGCCAGGCACCCAGGTTCCACCCGGGGACTTGGCACAGCCATGCTGCTCACACCGTTCGCCCTGCTACTGCTGCCCCTGCTGGCGATGCCAGCCCCCTCCCATGCCTGGTCACGGCCCCTGTGGTACCAGGTGGGGCTGGACCTACAGCCCTGGGGGTGTCATCCGAACACCTTGGAAGGCTGTGGGGGCAGTCTGGGCTGTCCTGGCCACTGGATGGGCCTGGGGATGAACCGCATCTACCCTGTGGCTGGGGTCACACTCACCACCACCATGATGCTGATGGTCAGCCGTGCGGTGCTACAGCGGTGGCGCTCCCAGGGCACTAAGTCTGAGGTGAGCACAGCACTGCTCTGTTCCCCCAGCCTCCTGCCTCCACTCAGACCCAGTGGGATCACGTCCTCTACCCAACCCTCCCCCAGGCAACCTACCCATGCCTGTGCCCCTCCCCCACCGCTCACACTCTCTGGTCCCTACATCTGTCCACACCCATCAACCCCTGACCACTCCCAGTACTCTGTCCCCATCTGTCCCTCCGCCCCTTAATATCCTTATTCCTCATCCAGCCCCCTTGGCCCCCACGACCACCCCAGCCTATGGCAGACCCTCGGTGACCCTCCATCACCATCTGCCTTCCTATGCCCTTCTCCCTGGCCCCATCGCTGCCCCTCACCGCACCCTGATCCCATCCCTCTGCTCTCACTCTTGACTCTTGGTCCTATCCTCAGCACCCGCAGGTGACCACTAGCCCCTCCGGACCCTGGAAACGGCGGAATCCAATCTCAGACCGCGCCCTGCTCATTGGGGTCCTGCACATGCTGGATGCCCTCCTGGTCCATATTGACTGCCACCTGCGGCGTATAACGACCAAACAGAAAACCCCAATAAAGGGGTCTCCCACCCAGAGTGGGTGACCCAACATATGTCTCTCTTTGCCTGGTGGCCAGTCGGGGTGGGGGTGGCCTGAGGCCCTGGGCCAGGCTCAGGCCTGTGTGTGTGTCGTCTCCAAGCTCGCCTGGACCCTGTGTCTCCTTTTTATTTTTGCAGTCGGCAGACTTGAGGCCTCTGTGCCCAGGATGGGTGGGCATGTGGGGCTGACTCACACTCCTCCATTGCCCCCACTGACAGCCCCCTCTTCCTTAAGGTCTCACCCATAAATACATCTCCTTCTCCAGGGCTCCTTAGGGGCCCTGGTGTGGTGGGACAAGACTTGACCATCAGGGAAGACTTGGCTGGTCCATGGAGGGCTGCCCAGAGGAGGTAACAACCTGACTGAGTCAGTGAGGGCACCCAGTTGGGGATGAGGGGGGTCGGGAGGTGGAGGGTGAGCCTCGGCCACCTTCATCTTTATGGCAGCCTCAACCGTGCTCTGGCACCCGAGTGGTCCTTGCTCTAAGGCCCCTGAAAGTGGAGTGAGGGCTGAACTTCACCCCTTCTCTTCCTTCTACTGAGGACAATCCAGGTTGAGTGGGTACTGAGGCCTATGCATGTTTATCTGTTTTAGAAAAAGAATATAAAATTACGAATTCAAAAATAGAAATAAGTGCATTAAAATGAGGAAAAAACGGTGAGAGATTATAAATGTTAAAAAGCTGACACTACAGGGGCTCCTGGGTGGCTTATTCTGTTAAGCGTCCGACTCTTGATCTCAACTCAGGTCTTGATCTCAGGGTTGTGAGTTCAAGCCCCACTTTGGGCTCCACAATGGGCATGAAGCCTACTTAAGAAAAAAAAAAAGTGATGCTGCAATGCAAAATCTAGACCAATAATGTGTTTGTGGCGACTTCCTAACACATTAATACTTGTACTCCTATACTTTCTGGCTGCTGACTCTGATAACCTCTATATAGGATGAAGATTTTGTAGTACAGAGGGGACATATCCTCTATACACAGAAAATAGATGAATTCAGTCTTCCTTCTAACATGGTTGATTGTTGAAATTTGTGTTTTAATTATTGATAGTTTAGAAAATCCCTCTCCTAAACTATTATTGATGATGTCACATAAATTGTCTGGATGTTTTTCAAATTTGGAAAACTGCCATCAACTTGCTTTCATACAGAAGCTCTATATTTTGGAAGAATTTCCCAAAGGTAGGCTCTGGCTCCACATACATTTCAAAACTTGTTTTCTCTCCATGGCTCACAATTTTTCTAGCACCGGGCACTCTGGGGCAGGTGCTAAATGCACTAGGATCCTGCATTTCTGTCCTGACCAGAAGCTCTGTCTGACCTGGCAGGAGGTTCCTGGAGGCCTCATGTACCAGGACAGAAATGACAAGGTGAATGCACACCCGAGTGGAGCAACCACATTAGGTCCCTCTAAACCCCGGCCAAGTGTGTCCCCTTTCAGGGAAGCCCACTGCTGCCAGTCATCAAGAAGGGTCTCGGCTGCAGGCGGCTTCGTCACAGCTAGTTTTTGCCCTTGGCACAACCCTTTCCCTCTCTCCCTCAGATGCTGATCTCAACTCCCTGGTAAATGTCCTAATCTCCCTCTGGGGAGTCTGCTTCCTAGAGAACCCAACATGGGACAATCCCCAACCCACCTTCCTCTTGGCTGAACCCCCCACATGTTATAACTTCTCCAGTATCCCCATAAGAGGTGAGGTAGGATGGAGGGATTGACTAGAAAAGGACAGAGGTTCTAACTACATGCAGTTAGAATATCTTCATTTCGTGAGTTTAAAAAAGACTTGCCTCTATGGACACACTCCTGGGGCTCCTCCCAAGGTCTGGAAGAGAAGGGCATTGAAGCTTGAGATTCATCGGCCTCTTGTTAGGCCCACTTCTACATTCTACAAGGTTCAGTAAGCACCTACCATTTGCTAGTCTATTGTGGATACCAGGATCCATTGATGTACAGAACAGAACCAGCTCCTCTCTTATTCAAATGGGAGGGTGGTGGTGGTGGTGGTGGTGAAACCAACTCAACAAAAGCCATGACTCTGCAGAGAGATGTGCTGGCCTAGTCAGGGCAGTGGGCGGCAGGCGGGTGGGGGCATGGAGCAAAGGTGGGCTGACTGCTGACACTTGAAAAGTGAGGTGACTAAAGTAGGGGACAGTGCTCCAGTCAGAATGACAGGTCCTTATGGAGGGTGTGGGGGTGGACCTTGGCCTGGTCCAGGAACTATAAGATGGTCAGAATTTCAGTGGAAAGAAGGAGCCCTGGAGAGGAGGAAGGGGCAGGCTGGGGAGGGACAGGGTTTGGTACCTCCTGGTGAGGATATGGTGGGCAGAATAGTGGCCCTTCAAGATGCCCATGGAATCTTTGGATATGTTATAGTACCTGGCAAAAAGAACTTGGCAGATGGAATTAAAGATCTTTTTGGATTATTTTGCTAGGCCCAATGGAATCACATGAGCCCTTAAAAGTGATGAAGAGGGCAGGAGAGTTGGTTAGATTTAAATTGTGAGAGGTACTTGATCCTCTGTTTCTGGTTTTGAAGATGGGGGAAGGGATCTCCCACCATCCAAAAATCCAAGGAATTCAGGCGAGCTCTGGAAGCTGGAGATAACTCTCTGGTGACAGCCAGCAAGAAAACAGGAACCTCAGACCTACAACCACTAGGATCTAAATTCTACCAACAACCCAAATGATCAAGGACACAAATTCTCTCCTAGAACCTCCAGAAATGAACATAGCCCTGCTGATGCCTTAATTCAGCCAAATGAGATACATGTTGGACTTTGAGCCTATAGAATGGTGAGATAATAAATTTGTGTTCTGAGCCATTGAGTCTGAGGTAATTTGTCATGCTGGCAATAGAAAACTAATACAGATGTTGATATCGAGAGCAAGGTACTACTGTAACAAAGTCCAGAAACATGGAAATGGCTTTGGAATTGAGCAGTGAACAAAAGGTGGAAGAATGTCAAGGAGCATAATGGAAAAAGCCAAGACAGCCTTAAACCGTTAGCAGAAATCTTGACTTTGAGAATGCTGCCAGCGAGGGTTCAGAAGGAAATGAGGAACATGTTATTGGAAACCAGGAGGTTTCCTTTCCCCCTTTTCTCCTTTCCAGGAGGAAAGCTTAGTGGAGTTGTGTCCAGCAGTTTGGTGAAAGGCAGAACTTGTGAATGATGAAAGTGGACATTAAGTAGAGGAGATTTCCAAGGAAACTGTTGAAAATTCAGCCTCTGCTCTTTTTGCTATTTATGGCAAAATGCAAGAGGAGGGAGAAAGATTGAGAGAAAAATGGTCAAAACAGAACCAGGACCTGATACTGGAAATTCTCAGCCAACTGTCCAAAAAAACACTTTCCCCCAAATTATTGGAGTTGATATAATTCTTTTTTTGTAATAAATTTTTTTAATGTTTTATTTTTTGAGAGACAGAAAGAGACACAGTGAGAGCAGGAGAGTGGCAGAGAAAGAGGGAGACATAGAATCTAAAGTGGGCTCCAGGCTCTGAGCTATCAGCACAGAGCCCCATGCGGGGCTCGAACCCACAAATGCGAGATCATGACCTGAGCCAAAGTCGGATTCTCAACCGACTGAGCCACCCAGGCACTCCTATATAATTCTAATCAAATTAGGCTTTTCTTTTAGATGGAATATTCTTTTTACAAATCATTTAGAACAGGGTGTGACATCACAAAAGATGGCAGAGTAGGACTCTCCAGGAATCCTTTTCTCCACCAAAATAACTATCAAGCTAGCAGAAACTGCAGCAGCTATTTTTGGAACTCAGATGTCTAGTTGAACACTTGCAGCATCCAAGGGAGAACTTGATGAATAATTCAATTCAATGAATTTCCCTGTTTCAACCCCCACAGGCTGAAGCAGCTTCCCAGCTGCAGGGAATTTAAGTAGACCTCACCCCCCACCCCCATCCCCACCTTTCCTTTGGGAGCAAGACGTTTAAGGAAATCTTTGTCAGGTCACTGGCTGATTGCAGAAATAATAAATTCGAAACTTCAATTACTACACACAACAAGGAATATACACTTCGTAAAAGTAGTATGGAAAGGTCATGATGGCTCCACTCCTCAACAAGCTGAAATCAGCAATCCCTAAAGAGAGAATTCGATCTCCAGAATTATCATATGTAACACTCAGAACGTCCAGTTCTCAACAAACATTACAAAATATGCTAAGAAATGGGAAAGTGAGGCCCATTTGCAGAGAAAAAAAGGAACCTGACAGGAAACATCCCTAAGTACGCCCAGGCAATGGAATTATTAGTGAAAGGACACTATAGACAAATAGCTAAAGAAAACCAGAAAAATAATGTCTGCCTAAAATTAGAATATCAGTAAAAACGAAAATTTTAAGGGGCACCTGGGTGGCTCAGTTGGTTGGGTGTCCAACTTCAGCTCAGGTCATGATCTCATGGCTCGTGAGTTTGAGCCCCATGTCGGGTTCTGTGCTGACAGCTCAGAGCCTGGAGGCTGCTTAGGATTCTGTGGCTCCCTCTCTCTCTCTGCCCCTCCCCTGCTCATGCTCTGTCTCTCTCTCTCTCTCTCTCTCCTTCAAAAATAAATAAACATTAAAAAAATTAAATAGGAAAAAACCCCACAAAATAGTAAGTGGATCTAAAAATTCTGGAGCTGAAGACTAGAATACCCGAAATGGAAAACTCACGAGAAGGGTTCAGCAACAGATTGGAGCAGACAGAAGAAAGGGTCAGTGAGCTTAAAAGTAAGATGACTGAAATTATCCAGTCTGAGAATCGGAAAGAAAAAGGATGAAGAAAAAATGTGCAGCTCTTGAGGAACCTGTAGGACACTATCAAGCAGAAAAATATATGCATTGCGGAAGTTTCAGGCAGAGTAGAAAGAGAGAAAGGGGCAGAAAAAAATTTTTGAATAATGGCCACCCCCTTCCCCTCATATCTGATGAAAGGCATATCCAAAAAGTTTGGTCTGGTGGAATGGGGCTTAGCATAAATGACTATTTGGAATCTCTTGTTCT